TGCTTCTTCCATGTGGACTTAGTTGTAATTTGATGACTTTTTGAGCATATATTAATATCAAGGAATACATATACTCCAAATTTAGACATTTATGAATTTGTAGTTTATATTATTTTGTCTTTGGTAAATTACTAAAGATAGCATTTTAAAATAATTTAAAGCCTTCTTTGTGTGATTTTTAGTTCGAGACAGAGTTCGGACAAAGATGGAGAGGGATATACTGGTGGAAGTACATCATCCGTTTATTGTAAAATTGCACTATGGTATGTATTGTTTTTAAATTTTGGAACTACAACTTCAGGTTTTCTTATAGGCAATAATATAAAAAAGCATAAATACTCACATGGATTCAATATATTTAATTTTGTAAATGTATCTATCTGAAATAAAGATCAATTTAGTTTTTAGTTATAGTTGTTTTCTTTTTTCTTAGTAGCCTAAGTTGGCTAAAGCAATATGATAGTAATTGTCTTCTCTTTTATCTGATTTTATTTTATTTTTTAACATTTCTATTGGTGTGTAATTCACATATCATACAATTTGATAATTCAATCATATGAAGAGTTATACTGTTGTCACCACAATTTTAGAATATTTTCTTTCTTGCACTCACTGTTATTGATTCTCCATTTTCCTCCAACCTCTCTTGCCATACCCCCAAGAAATCATTAATCTAGATACTGCCTCTATAGTTTTAACCACCTTGAATTTCATATACAGAGAAACATACAGAAACCAAAAACTCAACAATAACAAAGCAAAACAGAGAAAATCCTCAGTAAAAAAGCAGAAAATATTAAAAATCAGAACAAATTAAAAATGGGTCAAAAGAGAGATCAAATGATAAAGTGTTAAATTTAACCTAACTATATCTGCAAGAATTTGCTTTCAAAACCACTATGCATAATAACAGAACTATTCACATCCCTGGTCTGTGGTTAGAGGGGATTCACCAGTGGCTTGATCCATGCCAGGGTCTTTCAAAAGGATTTGGGGTTTCCATTGTTATCCATCACCTTCTGCAAACCATTTGATCTCTGATACCATTCTACCCTTCTGATTTAGATTTTATGATTTATAATCCTTAGATCACACAGACTCGTGTGCTTCTTCCATGTAGACTTAGTTGAAACCTCACTTAGATGGCTGCTTGTGTCTTCGATATCCCAGATGCTATTCTTTCTGATAGCCAGGCACCATCTAGTTTCTTCACCACAATTTGCTATATCACCCATATCTTCAGTGATTTCTCCATTAGGGTGAGCATCAAGCAGTCCATGTCATACGAATTCATTCTTCTGAGATTGGGATTAGAATTAAGTGGGAGCCCAACATCTATTCATACTTCTATGGTTTATATATGTCTTTGGTTCACTTTAGAAACATCATTATCATTTTATGTTAGAGAACATTATAGATCATCCCCTGGGGCATATGGTAATTCTATTGATAGTGTCATTAATTTAGTCAGTGGTATACAAATTTTTAAAAAAACTGTTGAGAAAGGGAAATTATACATGTCCAGGCCAGCTAAAAACCACAATACATGGATTGTTGCCGTGTACAGATTGAAC